GTTCAGAGCTCAGTCATAACACACCCGGGATGATTCCAAAGCCCAAAATAAGCAAAGGCTAATGCCGGTTTCACCATTTTCATTCCTCTCTACACAGGTCTAAGACAGGCCCTCACTTGTACTGTTGAAAATTCTCATCCTCAGATTTAAACAGATCAAACAACAAAAAAGGTAAAACGCGAGACAGCTGATCATAACACACCACAAGATAAATAAAACTAACAGAAACTGCAACAGATGAAATCTACAAAGGACCAGCACATGTTTCAGTTTTGAATCAGGTTGTGCTCTGAGATATTTGTAACTTCAACTCTGGAACAAACAAAAATATTATAGTCTTGCAAACATGAAGCACTTGGGGCTCAAGTTTGTAACACAGCTTCAAAATTTTCCATGTAAATACTTTTGTAGTGGAGCCATTTTCCACACGTATACCTGCAGGTGTTTCTACGTGAATACACAGAGGAGGAGACAGGGGAGAAGTGACTCTGTTGGAGGTGCTGTGAGATCAAGAACAGTTTAACGGCAGGTAGTAAAGCTAAGCTTTCAGGGGCGAGAGGTTATAGGCACTGGAGTGATCACACGTGTGTCAGAACAGTATTCACAACTGCAGAGGCCCACCTCAGACCACCTGCAAGTGCTGCTTCACTCCCATACTGCACAAGCAGGAAGTTGTGTTTCTCAGGACCCACTAGGTGGGAGTAAAATCCCACGAACATCATCTTCTTAACCTGACATACTCAACTGACAGGCTTGATTGTCTCTAATCAAAACAGGAATGCAGACAATGATAAAATGTTGAGCTGGATAAAACTTCAGCTACAGACAGAAACGTGTCTTTATCTCCTAAAATGAACCTCTGTGCCCAGCCGTTCAGGCCGTTACGAAGGTCACCTAAAGAGTGTGTGCCTAATGTTATCGGAATGCATGCTGGCTTCAGCCAATGAGACATACTTACTGAACTTGTAACTCAAATATTTAAAACTCCATATGCAACATGAGAGCATCATCCATCCCATTGCAATGCTATGAATATCTTTTGATCTATAACCAGGGATCATACACAATTATGCTCCTCCAAGTGTGCCACTTCCAAGTTCAGAGAAAATCTATGCTTTGAATTAAAAAAAAAAAGCTGCAGGCAAATGGGAGACAGATGACATCTGTCTTTATTTTTTTATTCCAGTAAAGACAAAACAGCTCAGATCAGATGTATGTTTCACTTATGTTCGGTTTAAATTTGACACGTGTTACACTACTATGAGTTATACATTTGAAAGAATATTTTATCACTAAAAATTGTACTGGAAACATCATGCACATAAAAAACAAAAATATTAATACTTCATCTACCTGTCTGTCTTATTGTCATATTTTTTCTCTATCAACCTCATCACAGTTTGTGTCTGTGTTCATTGCTCTGATTAAATCTTTATCTTTTGCAATGATAGTTAACCAAAAGTACTTTATTTATTTATTTATTTATTTATTTATTTATTTATTTATTTATTTATTTATTTAGCTGTGAATACCACGGAACTTTATTATTCTGTCCTTTTTTGCAAAGAAAACTCAAAAAAGTCAAATGTCTCCCTCTAGTGGTTACAAGTAAGCATCACAGGACCACGGTGTTTCATGACACAGTAGTGCTTCTCTTTATTTTTGTAAAATGTTATTATTAGTACTAACTTACACAAACAAAAATGTGAATTAATTAATTATTCTGTTCTCACTAAAATGAACAATGAAAATGCTAGAGATATTTCTGTGCACTTTGTTTAAATTTATTTTCTAATAAGCAGCAATTAATTAAAAGAAAATGTATTGATTTGTTTCAGAGTACCCTGCTTCTTAGCACATTTGTTGAACTTTAGAGGCCATTTTTAAATATAAATTTGACATTATGCTTTGTTTGACACTTGGCACTCCATACTTATTGACATCCTGCTATTTTTAGTTTTGTTCCTTCATTTTCCAGTGTTTTTACTCCGCTCTTGCCATCACTTTTTATTGTCCACTTTCTCCTGCAACACACATTTTTATTCCCACATTAAGAGCTGAATGAAGCAACATATTTGATCATATTTTTCTATTGTGTAGCGATAACTTTGGTGGGGTAAATATTGAAATACCTGAACCTTGTTTACCAGATACACTATAAATGTTGGACAAACTCTCCCATGGCCCTGAAAAATAACCACTTTGTCTCCAGGTACAGAATGTGTGGGGACAAGGTGACTGGTGAGAGATGGATGGTCCACTTTGTTATTTTTGAGTAGTGACTCCTGCTGCTGTACATTTTATGAACCAAAGTGGAAAGATACTGCATTAAACAACATCACAGGAGGGACAAATGCAAAACAGGAAGCAGTTAGCTGTGCCGGCTCATAAACCAGCCAAAGGCTGACTTGTAGATGTGTGAGGTGCAGGAAGCTTTACAGTCTGATGTGCTGTCATCACCTCTCCCAGCTCTGCCTCACACCTTGTCTGAGTTTGATGAGGTACGAGTCTTTAGCAGATGCGTTGAATTAAAGTGACCAGAGTTTAACACACGTTATTCAAGTGCTTCCAGTTCTAGTTATGGATGCTGTCAGTTTGTACAGTATGAACGACTTGCATATTAAAAACAAACATAAACACAAGGTGGTTTCTAATGAGCTGCAGTATAAAAGCCACTGTGACAGCAGTAGCTTTTGTTCTTAAACGTTTTTTAATAAAGCTGTCTCGACTGCTGATCATTAGAAGAGACTAATAATATTTTCGCTCTCCATCGATACAAGCTAGGACCAAATCTGTAGTAATCCACACAGACATGTCTGCAGAAGCTCTTTAAAATAAATGAGGGGTTGATCCTCTGTGCCATTAGTTGATAGATTCACCAAGCGATGGTTGCAAAACCTACATCTCCAAAAACCCAGAGGGTGGAGTAAAGTGTGTGAATACGCTCTCTAACAGGAGCTGGAATGAGAATATTTGATTTGACATGTTGAGCGTTCTGGTGTTCTGTGGTATATTTTAAGCACGTCACAGATCCTCCATTAGGGCTTTTGGAGATGAAATCAACTTGTTGAAAGGCCACATTTGAGCCTCTTTAAATGGGAAAAGAGATTATTAGAATCTTTTAAAGTGGGTCTGTGGAAATGTTTTGTAACATTTACAGATCTGTCAGTTTTGCAGTTATTCCAGCAGAAATATGATTTTGTCTACAACAGGTAGCAACTGTTCATACACATTTCACGGAAATCTATTTTATAAATCCCAAATTTAGTTTTAAGTGCTTGTAGTATTGCAACCTGTTTCATTTGTGTTTAAACACTAAGTTTGCTCTCTCACTTTTTTTCGACATACGTAATTACCTTCAAATTCACACCTCTTGGTAGGCGCTAACAAAGACTGAGCAGCTGGAGTAAGGTCATGTTTGTTCAAACTGAAGTGGATGTGTTTCCCCTAAACTGTACTGGATTCACTTTGAGAACGTTATAACCTTCTACAAGATATGCAAACATTTCTGAAAGCTGTCTTTGTCCCAGCTCAATGCAGACAACAGTCAAGCATTGTACACACGATAGTAAAAACCCCTTCTAATGGATCAGCTGGTCGTCACAACTGTATCCTTTGACTCAGTGAGGTTAAAGCTAAAAGCACAAAAACAAAACAGAAAAACAATCCCCCCCCCCAGATAGGATTAGTTTTGCAGGCTTACTGGTTGAAACCAGTGATGGGTCTGTTTCCCTTGGAAGTGAAGTGACCCAGAATCGTAAAGCCTTATCCTCCTCCCGCTAGATGGTATCGACAATGAACCTTCTCCCTAAAGATTCAACGCAGAAAAGAGGAACATTTGAGGAGGAGAGGAGGTGCTACATCTGCCCGCTTGCTTGTGCATGACATGACAGACACCGGTCGGCTTTTATCTCAGAGCTTTTCTCAGAAATCTCCTCGCACAAGGATGAGCAGCGAACAAGTAGGAGACTTTGTAAAAAGGTTTGGTGTGTTTGTAAAAAAAAAAAAAAAAACACTACAAGACTTCTGCCTGCAATTCTCAAAGCACTCTGTGATATTAGGACAGCTGTGTCGCACATCCTGTGTGCACAGCTGCTCAAATAATGTGCTACTTTAAAGAAAGGTATTGATAGCATTTGTTCAACCCACGTTTTTAAAAACGGAACCAGAATTCTTCGAAGGAGTGCGTTTTGCCCATCACTTTGTGTGCCAGAGTTTTCAAACAAAGATCTTTTGTGTTCTGTTTGCACTCACATCACCGGATGGAAATGACTCTCAGTTACTACCACACAGAATGTTTGTTCAGTATCTGCAACACAGACTGAGAGTTTCATTAAAATGTGTCTGTGACGTGCCTATCCTTCAAATACAAAAAGTCAAAGCAAACGTCTTCATATTTAGGAAAATTGGCATAAAACACATGATTTAACCCATTTTGTCACATAACTGGCATATTTTCCTTTGAATTTGGCTCAGCTAAAATGAAACAGGAAGTGACATCAAAGGGGAACTCTTTAAGAAAGAAAATTCTCTGTTCTGTTTATGAAAACAACATTGTTGAACTCTGACTTATCTTCATCTCTCTCCCCTATAAGGACTGAAATTATCTAAAGAAACATCAGAAGATTCCCAGCTGTCTGTGTTGCTAGCTGTTGTAGCAAAGCTCTGTTTTCATGCAGACGTTCCCCTTTGACATCACTTCCTGTTACTTCACATGCAAATATCTCAACAACTGTTCATCTCACTGTTGTGAAATTGCTTTTCACACCAGTTATCCATGTTATCTTTCCAAAAGTGCATTCATATTTATCACAAAAATTTGATGTCACAGGCACTTTAAAATGTGCCCCAATGGTTCAGGAAACACAGCTTCAGTTACATGATCGCCCACCTATCATGGTGGTGGGATGTTCTTCATGTTCACGGTTTTACCTGCTTCTCCACAGACGCAGATGCATCCTCACACATGCCACACACTCAGGATGGATCAGCTCATTGTGAGAGACGTGTATGATGAGTTATCAGGGGGATGGGCCAGAGAGCTCCCTTTCAGTCTGTGTTCTTGTCCTCCATTTAGCACTGGCAGCAGCATCAGCTTATTGTTATTATTATTTTTTTATTTGTGGCACATGAAGCTCCATTTTACATTTCAGGAATTTAAAAATCTGGGATTAAGATTTGTGCTGTTGGACTTTTCACCTGCTGTGCAGCTTTGCATCCGTCGCCCTCCTTTTCCACCTGCACAGAACAAGACATTTGTGAGGTACAGTAATACTTTTTTTAAAGAACTCAGTGTGGCTGAGGGAACTACTTCTTTATTTTTCCTCTTGCAGGCAGATTATAAAAGGTTTTAGAGTGGTCACATTCAAAACCAGTTGTTGCAAACTTAAAGAAAACACTTTAAAACTCAGTTTTGTATTAACATTTCAAAAATCCCAACCAGTAAACCCTGCTGCAAACAGAACTGTGAATCTCAGTGGTGTATTAGTACACATAATGTATCACATGCAAATGCATTTAATTATTTGTACTTTTAGCAGGTGACCCCAGTTGAAAACTGTAATCAAAACTCTTCTATGAATGAAAAATAAAAAAGGTTTTAGTGTGTATTAGTGTTGCACACAAATTAAAACGAGCAGAATTTCTTAGCATGTGACACGCTCTTCAGTCCCATTAATCTAATTGCAGAAGATACAATAAGCACCTAAGTACACAAATGTTTACAAAAGATTGCAGATAAGGTTTGTCCATATTGGGGTCACACGTGGTGTGCGTGGAGCCGTGAGGACGTGCGAGGAGCCCCAGAGCTGCTTTGATTCACAAATGTTCACTGAGCACAGCACTCTGCAGCTCATCCTGCACTGCAATACATCTGTCTTTACTTAGCAATCTTCATTTTTATATAATAGCTAAAATTACAGATATAAACATTTACAAACAAGCTTAAATGGATTAATTATACATGCAACAAAATGTAATTATATTTATATTTTTAGAACCTCTATCTCCCTCAAAAAATGAAGAGGCATCACTCAGTTGTGTGTCAGTGAGAAGCAGCAGTGTCTTTGTAGAGAAATACGATGAATAATGTGATACTTTGCAGCTCTGCTTTGTAGCAAATTATTGTTTCACAAACCTCAATAACTCTGATGAGAAGCAGACAGGAAGTGTGTTCACATGGGTTAAAACAGGTACTTTTCATCACATTAACATATTCATCTTCATTAATCCCTGTCAAGTGTTTCTTCTCATTACCATACATTTATTGACTTTAATAATAGAGCTGAGATGTTATTTGTACCACACTAAAAGGAAGTTTTACATAAAAAGAAAGACTCCCATTTAAGCTCAATAATATTGAGTGAGGGTCTCCTCTCTGACCAGCTCCACGGCTCTTTAACCCCGTATGGTGATTAATATTGAGCCACACAGTTTTACAGTCCACAAGCTTTATTGATTGATATTAAAGTGTTCTGACTGCCTTTGATTATATAAGATGTAACACTTGTATTTAATTACTCCCACATTCAAACACAGGCATGAGCACATATACACACACAGGCGTAAAAAATGAGATATATTCAAGCTAGAATGCCATGTCAGAGTACATTTTTTGGTGGGGGGGAAGCATTTAAATCAATAAAAAAAATATATATTTTGAATTACGAAGGAATTTTTAACTGGGCGGCACGGTGGCTCAGTTGGTAGAGCTGATGCCTCTCAGCAAGAAGGTCACCAGTTCAAATCCCGGTCTGGGGACCTTTCTGGGTAGAGTTTGTGTGTTCTCTCTGTGCATGCGTGGGTTCTCTCCGGGT